CAAAGTTGCTTGTTAGTTTTGCTTTATCTAAAGTGAACCGAGAGATTTAAACTAGAAACTAGATTAAAAATAGTAGGTAAGTTTTCTGTTTTTGCAGTGGATTGTGGTGGGTCAGGTAGTCACACCCATGTTGGGGAATTGTTGGGTCCTATTGAGAGAATAACACAATATATGATATATAATATCAAAAACCTCCTTCTACACGTTGTTGTTTTTTTCTCTCATTCCCCGGGTCCATAAAAAACAATACAAAGAAACTAGCTGTTCTACATACAATCATAGCAGAATATAGTGAACAATCAGATGCATAAACTCACACAACTCATCCTAGGAATCACAAACCAGCAAATCAAGACATAATTACCTGAGACAAAAGACAAAACACAAAAAGAAAATACTGGGACACATTTTCAAGAACGGACCACCCCTGGAGAACATGTGAGGAGACCCAAATGATCTGCTCTTCCAGTTCCGGAACCCAGCTTTTTCTAAAGGCCCCAACATATACCCAATATAGTTTACTGTGCGACACTGAGTACGCGTACGCGGTGTTGAGAAAATAAATTTAAAATAAGCTAGTTTTAAAACTTAACATGTCTTGATTCAAATGGCCTAATTGTGGTTTTGAAATTAGTAACATATTCTGGCTTTTTGACCTTTATTTTACCTGTAGTTACAGCAGATGGTTTGCTAGGAACGTTTGAACTGCCTTTTGTCTGTGTGGGAAAACAATACAGTAGAAGTTGTAGCTTTTCACACTCACCTGTGAAAGGCCGTAAACACGGCAGGGGTTTCTGGCTTCAGATAGAGGGTCAGAGATAGCTCCTGGTTGGAGGAGCAAAGATTCGCCTTATTTGAATAAATTAAAGATAAGAATACGCCTTTTACTATAAAACTTTTTACACAGAAGTAACAAATCAGATTTGCTCTTGCAACTCTCAAAAGATGTCTTTGCACGTCTTTGTTTTTCTTCTTCTTTCCATTTATGTCAGGTAAATGAATGTATGTCTCCGTTGTTCTGCAGTTTCTGGGGTAAGTTTATGCATTGTCTTATATTGGATTAAACTCTTTAATTCTGTGACGTCAACACGCATTGTTGTTTTCCTTGTGGCTACACGTGGCCCGCCGAGAGGACCTGGGATCCAGAGGAAGAGAGAGCCAGACTTTTTCCAAAGTTAACCATTTTAAAAATTTCTTCCTTAACAGCGGTCATAAAAATCTATCCTTGCGCAGACATGTCGGGCGGACATCCACTTCTAGTCCCCGCCTCCGCGGACTGAAGTACCCCCTAGTATATTGGGGACTTAAGGAGGCGTGTTCTTCCTTTTCTACTATATGTAATGTAGAAGGGCTGCCTTTTACCTGGTACAAACCATGCAAAGGCTTTTATTCGATTTACAGCTTTCTTTATGAACTTTCTTCCTTTGCCTGAGTGCAACACAGTTTTTTTGACTCTGGCCTGAACGCTAAGCTAAACACAGAGAAAGTTTTGCCTTCAGAAAAACATATTTCATGTCTCTGTGAATGCTTGCTGGGTTCAAAGGAAGGCTAAGACACTTATATTAATGGTTATTTGTCCCTGGACATATACATTTGCAGAGTTTTCATGTACTTATCTTCCAAAAACATACAGGCTTAGTTTAAACTACATTTGTAAGACAATTTCAGTTGCACACACATTTTCTAATTACTGCATGACTTGCATACTGAACAGGGCTGTGACTTAATATAAAAACTACAATTTAAGCTACTTTTAACAAATCATGGTGGTATGATTAAGAACAGTATTCTACTGATCAGATTATGTTGATTGAATCATGAACCTAATTTTAACATCAATTTAGGCCTGTTAAATTGATATTTAAACATGTGGTTAAAGTTTACTCTAGCATTAAACTAGCTTAATAAAATTAACAATCCAACAGTCCCTATAAAGATTCTCAACCCAACAGACAAACCTATGATACTGCGCAGCAATGCTAAAATCGCTGATGTCTTCCTATGTGTTACTGTGGAGAACTTTGTGTTTAGTCAGGAGAAATCTGAACTGTACTGCAGCCATTCTACTGTTTCAACAAGCTCACCACATCACAGCTCTGATCCTGTACAGATACTGAGAGACTGTGGTCTACATGACATCGACATAGAGAGCTGTGAGGTGTCGGATGAGTTCAAGAGAAGGCTGGCTGAACTTGTAGTTTCTTACCAGGATGTTCTCCAGGGGAAAACTGGATTGTGGGGAGACTAGGGATTTTGTCCATCGCATTCACTTTACTGATGACCAGCGGTTTCGCTTGCCTTATCGATGCCTAGCACCAGCACATTATTAGCTGCAGGAGGTCTTGTCTGAGACGGAGATGAAGGGTATTATAAGGAAGTCTATTAGAGAATATGCCTCTCCTCTTGTTATGGAGTGGAAAAAGTCTGGGTGATCAAATGCACTGACTGGTGTGTTACTTTGTTGCAGTAAAAAAAAACTCTATTTTGTACTGGAACTGAATGTGTAATGGAACTAAATGTACTTCGTAAAAGAAACTATGAATCTTGTGATTTTATAGACAAGAAATGTTACAAGAAATTGATAAGGAACACTCTGTTATGGACAAAAGGACTCTCTGTTCTCTATTTTATCTGGTCACATGCAAACGGCTGCACACTGACATAACCATAACATTTAAAACATTCGTACATAAACAAAAATTTATAAATTCAGGCCAACAATTTTTGGCCTGGCTTAATCAGGCCAAAAATTGGCCTGATTAAGCAGAATGAGGAGAAAATAAGGCAAAACTTGTCACAATCTTTGTTCCACTTGGTGTCATCACTAAGATGAGCTGAGTGGAGCCCAGTGCTGGATGGTGAGCATCCCTCTGTATCTGATCCATTTGGATTACGTGCAACAGTTGATCATTTGTCTGCATTAAATCCCCATTCAAAGCTCATTATTTCTCAAGATAATGAGTTGGGTCCTGAAAGTGGTAAAGGACCTGGGTGGTGCACAGAGGGGAAAATGGATCATTCTTGGTTGCTCTCTTGCTCTTGGTGAAGGCGGACGCTTTTTTCCTCTGCTCCCTCCCTGCCCATGCCTGCCCTGCTTGCTGTTTATGTCCTGTCTTTTTCTATATTTTGGAGCTTTTCTTTGCACATCCTCCAAATCTACAAATTATGGATCTGGTCAACTGATCTCTCAATGCAATTAATCAAAGTTTTGACCAAAAGTCTAGGCACAGGAGAGCCCTCTTGTCCTTTGGGGACACACCCAGTGGGATTCACCCTGGATTTATTAATGATAACAGGATTTCTGCTGTTTGGAGCTTGTGGATTACTGGATTATCAAAAAATTTATGATGGACTTAGCCGAACTAGCGAACACTCGGACTGTTGATGTGGAAAGAAACGCAAGTTGGATGTGATTCTTGTTGAGACTCACAGCCCAGCTCAGGACTCTAAAACTCACTAACGGAATGGAATCGATTTTGGAAAAGTTGCTAGTTTCGGTTAAGTGTAATGACCAATTTAATTTGGATAATTGGGAACTGAGATATATCTGAGAGACTTTAGGGAAGATTGAAATTTATAATCTTCCCGACCTAAGACGTTCTGTTTCTGAATTGGCTTTTCCTGTGTGGCCTTGGAAGGGCTGCATATTTCCAATCTCCTTGAAAATATGTGAACATAACACTCTTTCCCACCTCACCCCCTCCTGTTATCCATGCAGCTGTGGAGCTGAGCGCTCCCAAGGACATCATGCCTTGATAACATCTTTTTCTTTTTAAAGGTTTTGTTGGCTCTAGTGGCCTTTATTTGAAAGTAGTTTGACAGGAAAGAGGGTTACGAGAGAGGGGTAAATGTCGCCAGGCCAGGAATCAAACCACTGGGATGAGAACTAATGCCTCAATACATGGATTGGGCTTTGGTCCTGCGCCACCTCTGCACCCAATAACAACATCTTCATTGGACTTCGCCAGGAGTCTCAGCAACATGGTTTCATGGCCCTGTGATGTCACCACCTTCACTCATGTCTTTGTTTTCTTCTTTGTTTTGTCTGAATGTTGCCATTTGCCCTAATGTGACCTTTCCTCTTTTTTGTTTTATTTTGTTAGAATTAGAATAACTATGAACTTGAATCCAGAAATACTTAACAGAAACAGTCACTACTTAGTTACTTTTATCCATCTATTAGCTTATTTTGTTAGAAACTGTAGAGTGATTGGTATTTAGATTAATATTGTACAGCCCAGAAATGGAAGGAGAATTAGAATGAGAATAACTACAAACTTAGAATCCAGGAATATTTGACAGGAACAGTCACTACTTAGTTTTAGTTTACTTTCAACCCAGAAAAGGAATTAGATTTGTCACTCTTTAGCTTATATTATCTCCCTCTCCCTATAAAACTGTAATCTGTGTTTTGCTTGGGGCTCTTTCTCCTGACTGCATTCAGTGAGAAGAGACTTCAAATGCTGTTAAGCCTTCAAATAAATACTCATTAAGAATATATTCTTTCTCTGGTTCTTGAAAGAGTTTCCCCTCACTCATTTTAAAAGGAAAATTTCCACTCCACCGGAAATCTAACAAACCGGCAAAAGTGATTCAGAACTAATTCAGAATGAATGGTTCATTCCTCTGTCAGTGAACGTGTCATGTGTCACCATAATGAAAAGTCCTGACGCAACGACAATAACATTAGGGAATGCTGAGAGAAACTGATCAGACACACAAATCTTTCCAAAAAAGATCAATAAAGGCAAAAATAATGGCAGATTTATGCATGCCATTAAAATAATTTATTAGCAACAACACTAAATATTAAGTTGACCAATTATTTAGCTAGCAAATAATATTTAGCTTGCAAGCTAATGAGCTCAAAGCTAAATGTTTTGCTTCCTCTGATCTTCTCCAAATACAGAAAAGGTTTGAGTGTTTGTACATTTAATTTTTCTAAAGTTTAAGTTACCACTAGAAAATGTGTTGAGAACTGTTCAAATTTACCAGAATACATCCAACATAGCCATGCAAATATTATGGTTCTTTACATTAACCGTTTGATGCAGACATTAGTTTTTGTTTCTTTAGTGACAAGTTTAACAGCTTTTAAAACTAAAATGTGTTTAATATTTTATTGGAAATCCATTATTTTGTTAATTATTAATCAGAAATGAATAAAAGAGTTACAGTCTGATCAGACAGACATTTATTTTCTAGTTATGTGACAGTGGATATTATTACTGATTATAACAAACTGCAGTTTTATCTATTCAGAAACATAATATTCTCCCAGTTTAAGTTACAAAATAACTTTTCTCCCCAAAAATCCAGAGCTGGATGAAATATGCCTCATCTCCATCCAAGATTAATAATTTTATGGTACAATTATGAATTTTAATCTTTCAGTTGATGTTTGTTAAGTATGAAGAATAAGATGAATGACAAAGTCGTTACTCTAGAAAAAGTTTGTATCATTGAATAAAAGTATAATGAAATATTCCCTGGTTGTAAATAAATAAGGTCAGATTGTTAATTAGTACTATTATTTGGATGGTCATTATTGAATTATTAAGACCATCATATTTGATGATGCAAACCTTCTTTCCTGTTTAATTTGATGTAATATTGTCAGTGAAAAACATTGTAACAATAAAGTATTTGATTATATATTTTAGCAGCAGTTTACTTTTTCCAGATGTCACTGTAACAATAAATTAGCTGTAAAAGAGAAACATTTTCTACAATAATTTTCATGTTAAATTTGTGGCAACCATTAATTAGTTTGACCTGTTTTTTAATAATTTTTTAAAACTTCTTTCATTCCAGATTTGGACTTTAATAGATTTTGAATTATTAAACGTTTTATTTTTTCCTTTATACCTTTATTATAAATGATATATTTAAATCATTTTTAAAATGATTTAGGATTTCAATATTAGTTATGCGACTTCTGTTTCATTACTTTTGTGCACAGCTCTTTGGTCTTGTTGGAGTTTAAATTTCTCTAGAACTAAATCAGGAATAGTAACTCCAGAGCTGCAGAGCTTAGATGCTGCATGTTCATTTCTGATATAAAAGATACAAATTCAACAAAATAAATTACTTCTGGTGTTCCTCTTCATGTGATTAAAAACTCGTCACATTTTCAGACTCAGTTCAGGGAAAATATAAGCTGAATAAAGTGAACCATGAAAGTAAAGACGATCAGCCAGGAAATGTTGTATTTCAATGCATTTATTGATTTATTGTTAATTTCTGAGACAGGTGAGAAAAAGCAAAACTATTGATTTATTCTAATTCCACAAACATGTGGATCAAATTGATCAAGAAACAATATTGAAATTATATCTGAGAGGAAATTTGATGAGAATTATATTTCATGACAGTTTGTTTTGTTGTTACTGAGTTACTTCTCTTATCCACTGAATGTATCCACACACATCAATGATTGAAACTGGTCTTTGACATGGATGCTCTGATACACCTGCAGAAATCACACCATAAATCATGCCGTTGAACACCACAGCTGAACCAGCGTCACCCTGTAGAAAAAATTACATCAATATATTTATTTATATTGTAAAACAGAAAAGTTTTCTAATCACTGCAGAGAGATAGTGAAGAAACAAACTCACATGACATACATCCGTGTTCGGTGCTGCAGCAGAGAATGTATGGCCATATGCTGGCAGGAAGTGGGAAACCTCAACAACTTTCATGTTGACACACTGAAGACGTGGTGCAATAGCAGCATCAGGTACTGGAGAGAAACATGAGAATCATAAACATGTTCTTCACTCAACCTTCTCTGTAGAGACAGAAGCAAAGATTTTATTCTCATAACTTTAATATTTCTCTCACATCGTTGATTATTGGGGCCGGTTGTCGTTCTTCCCTCTCCTGCCAGCTGAACAGTATCACCTCTAAAACACAATTAGAATAAAATGTAATAATACAAGATAACAATTTAGAACATTTATTGTTTGTAAAGAAAAGGAAATAAATCCATGAAGGACTTCATCCACTGACACAGGAGTGTCCTCCTGTCCTCAGTGTCCTGTGTCCTTTACACGTGTCTCTGGTCCAACACACCTGAGATAAACTGGTGTTGCTTGTGGCCTGATTACCTGACTCAGGTGTGCTGAAGCAGAGGCAGCAGGACTGGAGACAGAAAACCTGAAGTCATGTTTATGATCAGAGAAAGACTTACATTTTAGGATGATTACTGCAGTCTGGTAGTGGAGCAAATGGGACACCTGTTACTCGTCTTGAAAGCCTCACCAACATGATGTCATGTTTCCAATTTTCGGGAGCATAAACCACAGGAGCGTCAAGGACTCTGACAGTCATCGTTGTACCAGTCCGTGGATGAACTTTTAATAATGCTACATTAATCCTGCAGAAAAGGTTAGATAACAATGAAAACCTGATCATCTGAAGATTAAACTGTGTTAATGCCTCTTTCCTACCACCCCATCTCCGACTTCCAGCAGGTATATGCAGTCAGGATCCACTTATGGTTTATCAGAGATCCTCCACAGATGGTGGTTTTCTGCCCGTTGGTCATCTTCAGCTGAACATGATAATGCCGCTCCGTGTCAGCACAGTCATGACCTCCAATGATTCTCTTCTGCAAGGAAACAGCTGAGTTCACTGAAACACCTGGAGAAGAAAAAGGAGGATTTTACTCAGAAACCATGTACAAACATGGCTGCTGGAGCAGAAAAAGGATAAACCGTTAAAGATTAAAAAGCATCACAGTTCATATGCAAAGAAGTTGTGACCAGTTTCCCCAGTGTGACCAGTTTCCCCAGTGTGACCAGTTTCTCCAGTGTGACCAGTTTCTCCAGTGTGACCAGTTTCTCCAGTGTGACCAGTTTCTCCAGTGTGACCAGTTTCTCCAG